GATTAAACGCTGGAAATCACTGCGACACAATTTTTCTTACTTCTGATTGCTCTGTTTCCTCGGGAATTAGCTTGAATCAGTGTTGCATATAAGTAACCATGACTGGATTGTTGCAGCCAAAGCATTTGGTAGCAGCTGTGAAGAGTTTGCAATGGCGAAATTCTCTGGAGATGCATAAAATTCTTAAAGAGCATGAAGATTTCTGTATTTGTTATAACCCTGGAGAAGAATCACCAAAAAAGGTTTAAAGATTACTTTCATTTTGCATTTTCAAAAATTTTGCTTGCTTGCTTAATATTACTGATTTTTTTAAGCTCTTTTTCAGATTAATGTAGAGAAAATGGTAGGGATGCTTCCTCTGCATCTTGTGGCAGTGCTTATGACTCCTGAAAGAGACGACAAGTTTCAATATTTATTGTCTGGGATTAGACTGTTGCATACATTGTGCGACTTAACTTCTCGGCACCCGAAACTCGAGCAGGTTTCTATCTTTATTTGTGTTTTATGAGTTCATAGAGAAGTTAGATTTTGATCTTTAATGGAATAGTGTTTTAGTGAAGTTTCGGTTTTCTGTGTATTGTGATAGGTCTTGCTTGATGATGTGAAATTATCAGGACAAATGATTGATCTGGTGATTGCTACGATTGTAGTTCTTGGCGGTAATAGAAAGGTTCTTTTCCAAAAAAAAATTCCTCTTTGTGTATCTTCCTGTTTCTCTCTCAAGTTTGTGATTCATGTACGTTGCTTGTTGTTTCCAGGAAAGGTGCTATTTGGATCATGAATCACTGTTAGATTCCACATTGGTGGCTTCTTGTCTTTACCTGTTGCACGGGTTTATCTCTCCTAACTACCAAGATCTTGTTCAAGTCTTGCTTGTGCACCCTAGGGTAGGTCCTTATAATGATTGTGGAAAGGATATATCATGTGTTTACGATTATGCTTTGAGATTTTGTGTTTTCCTGTATTTGGATTCGATGACGTAGTTCTTATTTATTTTTATTTTTTTCTCATCTAGGTTGATGTATTTATAGACGCTTCCTTTGGTGCGGTTCACAATGCTGTGAGATCTTTGAATAAGAAGTTGTTGACGCGACGAAGGTTAGGCGCGAGTTCTGTAGGGGCGGTTAGTTTTCACTGTCAACAAGCTGAAGCTGCTTTGCAGTTCCTTCATTCTCTGTGCCAACACAAACTGTTTAGAGACCGTGTCGCTAAAAACAAGGTTTCTCTAATATTTGTTGTTTAAATCTTTGGTTGCATCAATTTTAGATTAACTAGTCTCGCCTACATTTATTATGAGTTGTCATTGACCCGTTATGATAAATTGGTAATGTTGTGGAGACCGAATCTCAGAATTAGGTCTTCTGGTATTCTACTTTCAGGAGCTATGTGGAAACGGTGGTGTTCTTATGCTAGCTCAATCCATACTATCACTAGCTATTACACCTGAATATGTTGGAGAAGTCGTAATAATAGCTTCCATATCTAGAATGAAAGCAAAAGTCCTTTCAATTGTAAGTCTATTGAAACTTAGCATAGTGTTTCTCTATTTACTGTCTGTTACTCATACCAACGTTCATGTTCCTGCAGTTGCAGCATTTGTTTGAGGCGGAAAGTGTCTCATTCCTTGACGAAGTTGCAAGGGCAGGCAACTTGCATTTAGCTAAAACTATAGCCTCAGAGGTTTGTCTTAATAAGGGGTTATGCTCTAAAATTGATAGGATGCGTTGATTTAAAAGCTTACCACTGGTTTGACACTTGCTACTTACGGAAACTCCTTACAAATTGATAACCTTGCGGGTTTCAATACCTTTTAACATATAACTAGTCGTAGATCAAGTGTCACCGCAAAGGACTCATGTTGTTTAGTGTTTTCACTTATCAGCTCTACTTTAGAGTCTAAACCTACAGTTTCCTCAACGACATATGTTGTTAAATTGACATTTTGTTCTTTTCTGTTCTTCAGTTCCCTCCAAGAGTTATCTATGTGAAGTTAATGTTGACCTATTCAGTGATGCTATATTTGTAATCTAGGTTCTTAAATTGTTGAGGGTTGGCCTCTCTATAGCTTCCAAGGGTACTGCTTCTCCTCAGTATCCAATGGGTTTTGTGCTACTTAATGCTATGCGCTTGGCTGATGTGCTCACGGATGACTCAAATTTACGATCTTTTTTCACCAAACATCTGGTAAGTAATAAATACACTCCTCCAGCCCTGCTTCTGCAATCAATCTACAAACTTTAATTGCTCTGGTTATATCTAAAAGCGGTACTTGAAGTCTGTGATTTTGGTGTGACGGATATTAAATCTTATCTACAGAGTATTGTTCTTAGCGCGGTATTTTGTCTCTCTCATGGAGATTTCTTGTCAATGTTGTGCTCTTCTGAACTTTCTTCAAGGGAGGATGACGCGACTTTAGACTATGATTTGTTTACGTCAGCCGGATGGGTTTTAAGTGTATTTTCATCTTTTAGTCAATCGGTGACAGCTCAATTCAAGCTTAGTTTTCAAAATAACCTCACCATGGCTTCATACGCACATCAAAGAACATCTTTAGTTATTAAAATGATGGCAAATCTTCACTGCTTCGTTCCCAATCTCTGCAAAGGTGATATTTTTTTTTTCCTTTCCCGTGACTACTTTCTATTGTGTGGCATGTTTTTGTTTCTTAATATGCGTATTTGCTAAAACACCGCAGAAGAGGACAGGAACAGTTTCATAAAGAATTTTATGAGTGGAATGCAAAAGGATCCTTCAAGCATATTGCTGAATATATTACCCGGCCGTTCATATACTCCGGTGGCAGAGAGAGGCAATGGTGTTTGGAGAAACCTATGTGTGTATCTTTATCCTGAGACACTAATATGATTTCTTATATATACATGTTTTGGTAATTTCATTATGGTGGATATTTGTATCTGTAGGTTCTCTGTTGCTTCATGCACAATCCTTACTCCCTAACGCCCTCATTGCTGAAGATCTCATGCTCTTGAGGTGACATAAATTCTCTTCAATTATTCTACATCACACATATTTAAAGAACCTTTTATAGTTCTCTAGGTTTGCTGTTTTATAGCGCCTTTGATATGTATTTTTGGGATGCTGTCTTTTGCAGGGTTTTCTCTGACCAGTACAAAGAGCTACTTGCCGAGTTGGAGAAAAATGAAGTACAGACAAAGGTTAAAAAGCGTGTTGCTCTCTTCTACATGGTTTATATCTTTGTTTGCTTGTGTTCTTGATCTCTGTTTATTTTTACCGATACAAGTAACTGTAAGGAGGTTTTACTCTCGTCGATAACATGTTGAATTTCTGTGAAAGGCAAACCTTTTTCCTAACTTTAAAGTGTTATGTCTGTTTTAGGATATTCAAGGTACGGGAGGGAATTTAACTGCTAAGCAGCAGAGAAAAAAGCCTTTGAATCTAAACAACGAGGAAGCTTCAGACAATTCTGATGTCCGAGTTGAAGGTGCAACTACAAAGCAAGACGTGAACGAGGAGATGGAAATAGTTGAACGGTTAAAAGAGCGGGATGCAGATGCAAACAATCTTGAAACCAGTGGTTCAGACACGAGCTCTAACAGAGGGAAGAGTCCAGTTGATCGGGGTGAAGATGGAGAGTTGGTTCAGAATATGAGCAAGCGGTTTAAAGGGAGTGTGTCGGGAGAGGCGAAAGAGGATGAGAGAGCTGAAGCCTATCCTGATTTCGAGAAGCAGAGGAAGAAACGGAAGCGTAGTATTATGAATGATGATCAAACGGGGATGATCGAGAAGGCGCTTGCTGCTGAACCTGATATGCAGCGGAATGCAGCTTCAATACAGTCATGGGCCGATAAATTGAGTCAAGAGGTGAGCTCGAAAATTCTACTCTTTTATAATTTTCCAACCTGTATTTCAATCTCTGAGCTTGTTGATTACGCGATTTTGCAGGGCTCTGAGGTTATTACAGCTTCACAGCTGAAAAATTGGTACTTTTTTTTTTTTCTCTTCTCTGTCCATTGCATTGAGTTTTTGAGTTCCAACCGCATTGATACGGACAATCTTTTCTCTCAGGTTGAATAACCGAAAAGCTAAACTCGCTCGAGCAAACAAGCAAACAGGACCAGTTCGTGATAATAATAGCTCAGGGGATCTAGCTGAGAGTCCTGGAGAGGAAAACACTTGGCAGCAAGCTGCATCATCAAGAACCCCGAAAACAGGAGACAATCCGATGAGACCAGACGGGCTAAGGCAAGGTCAACAAGTGACGCTATTGGACAAAGAGATAGGAGACGAAATCGGGAAAGGAATCGTGTTGAGCACTGATGGTGAATGGTACGGTCTAAACCTGGAGACAAGGAAACTCTGTGTGGTTGATGTAATGGAGCTTAGGGGTTCGGATCTTTGGAGCACAATGACAATCCCTTATGGATCTGATGATGTCGGGAGGACTTTTGGAGAAGCGAAATCGAGGTTTGGAGTTATGAGAGTGGCTTGGGATGTAAACAAGCTTCAGTATTAGACTCTGTTGCATTGAATTTGAATGAATAATTAGGTTTTTTTTTTTTTTTTGTGTTAACTGGATTTTTTTCTCTTCTTAATTCGTTATCCTGATTCCTGAAGAAGAAACCAAGTTAC